GTGGCAGGTATCCGAAATCGACATATTGAGGTATTAGTGTCTCGGTACCAACATATTTTAAAAATTTCTTCGCATTTTTTGGCTGCTTACGAAAATTCCTTCGAATATTTTAAACGTTCTTTTTCTAGTTTTAAACCAAAACTGCTTCTTCTCTTTTCGTACATTGATGCTTGCCTAAATTAAACCACAGACCTTCAACAGTTACTTCACTGCTCAACTATTAAAGATCATAATATATTGTCTCAGTCAGTGTGAGTGCTTTACTTTTTTACTATTTGTTTTTCTACAATTTTGGATTTGTCCCGGTCAGCTTTGACACCGGCTACATGTTTAAATTTGGCAAATAAACACACACACAGATCGGTTTACTGGAGTAAAAATTGATGAATTGTATAAAAGTGATTTCGATTGATGAAAGAGTACGCCTTAAGACGACAGAATGAAATTCATTTGAGCCAATAAAGGCTGATTGAATTTGAATTTGAATTTGAAGGATTGTGACATGATGACTAGATAGAGTAAGTGTTCTCTAAGGCGAACCTCTCTATCTGTTGTGGTTCTCGAATAACAGGCATTTATCCCACGAAATGGAAACCTATAACGGTGACTCAGTAGAATGCCTGCCATTCGAGATCCACCACAGATCGAGAGATCGGCCTTGCGCAGAATTGTAGAAAATAATTTATTCTATCTAAGTTCCTTTAATCCACAAACCGAGCGTGCTTTTTGGCTCTATGGAATCGATTCAATATTTACTTATTGTACTATGATGATGCTTATGCGTAATTATTATGAATGTGACAGATCGATTTCACGTTTTTTTACTCATATATTTTGTCGACAGCAGGAATAATTTTCTCTCTTAAAAAGGTGGAAACGACAAAAAAAATGTTCACTTATTCTTTCTATTTATCAACTTTTGTTGACTGAAATGAAAAATAGAAAAGAAGTATACTTAAAAAAAGGAAAGAAAAAACGACGGGTATCAGAACCATTACTATTTTTATTTTATCTTATACAAATTCAGAAAAAATCAAATTTTCTTCGTATAACATTATTACAGCGAAAGAGAAGTACAGATTGTTAACCATTGTATTGCATACATGTGCGCAGAGGGTTTTAGTGTTTAAGGTCATATCGTTGAATAAAAAGCACTTTAAGCATTCAGTAAACATAAGGTCATCCGCTTAACATATAGGACAGAAGACGACAATTTTCTACACTAATGGCCGCCAAATATGTCGACAATGAAATGAAGCGAAATTTACGTTATTCCGATATTCAGAATGAGCCGAAAAAAATGCTGCTGCCAGTGGCCGGCTATCAGAACATGCCGCTAATATCATTAGAACTAGCTGTTAAACCACTGGAACATCTAATGCCTCAAATACAACAACACGTATGGATAGCCAAACAAAACTGTCAAGAACCCACAGCCGATGGTTTGACCGAAGATGAATCGGCTTCTATTCAACTGTACACAATGGAATGGGAACCGAGTAGTCAGTGTTTGTACTATTTGTTAAATCAAACTTTACGATCGGAAGATCGACAACAATTAAAACCATGGTTCTCGTATTTGAAACTTCTTTTAACTGCCCTCTACAAATTACCGTCTGTGAAATGTGTTGTCTGGCGTGGGATAAAAACGGATTTAAGTGATGAATACTTGAAAGTAAAACCATTCGTTTGGTGGGGAATGAGTTCTTGTACGGATTCACTCGAAATAATGGAATCCGAACAGTTTCTCGGCAAGACTGGAACACGCACATTGTTTAACATTGAATGTGAAAATGGCAAAATAATCAAGCCCCATTCATATTATAAAGCAGAAAATGAAATTCTTCTTTTACCAGCAACACAATTTAAAGTTTTAGGGAAAACTAATGCTGGTAATGGTTTACATATTGTTCATGTTAGAGAAATACTGCCACCATACGTGCTATTGCAAACACCCTTTGTGAACGACGGTTTGACATCTTCGACAGTTACCGCTCTAACTGCTTCCTCGACGGTGTTGAAACAACGTTTAGTTAAATGCGTGATAGTCGGAGATGGGTAAGTGAGTTGCTTATTATCAGCTCGAAGAATATTGCTTTCCTACCCTTAGAGCCTAAATTTTACTCTACGGTTCAGTGTATTTATAAAGAGATGAGATTGCATTACTTATTTTGTTCGAAAACTGTAACAATGTCGTTCGTTCATTTTTTGTCTGTTTATAGTGCTGTGGGTAAAACCGTGCTATTACAAACATATTTGACAAATTTGTATCCCGGTATGCATTCATTGTTGCGATTTTAATTGATTGGATCGGATGACCAATACTATCTTTGGTTTTCTTGTGCTAGATTTATTAGTGCCCACGGTATTTGAACAACATACAATTGATATTATAATAGACGGTGAATCAGTTGGACTACATTTGGTCGACACGGTGGGTTACTTTGTAAAATATATAGCTACTTTTTATTAATAATTTCTATGGCTTTTGCTCATCTAGTAGTCGCCGACTAATTTTGATTGAATCTATTTTTAGGCTGGTCAATACGGTTTGTTTCGTAGTCATTTGAATTCAGGCAGAATTATAGTAATATATTCATTTCCTTTCTTTTAGACTACGACAAACTTCGGCCGCTATCCTATCCCGAAGCTGTTTGTATTTCCCCTCACCTGCTTTTTTTTGTTTTGTTCTCTTATAGTTCGTTATTGTTTAGAATATAATTTTAATATGCTTTTCAGTAGTTAGTCTGGAATCATATAACAGTGTGCGGAAAAGGGTAAGTCTTAACGCGTCTTTTGCCGCTATGTAATTTTGTCGCAGAAAACTGTATCAAAAGTACGCTAATTGTGTATACTTTCGTTGTTTTAGTGGTTACCAGAAGTAAGTGTGTGTGGTGCCGCTCTCTTAAGCAAATACGGTTTCTGTTTTTTCCTTAAGGTGCAATATTTTTGTTCCAGAGTTCCCATTATATTGATTGGTACCAAAATAGATTTACGCGATAATAGACCACTTGGAGAAGAAAACTTGTGCGTATGTGTCTGATATCGCGATCTTATGAACTGTTATTACAAAGAGCTTTTTGAGATAATTAGTAAAGTATTGTCGTAATGAGTAGGAAGAAGTTTATAAGCAATTGGACTGTAGCCGCAATCATTAACGTCCATCCCTCTCCGTCCTCTAATGAAATATTCGTCTTTTCCGGGCTGCTGAGGTTATGAACTTTAAAGCCTATTTCTAGGAGTGTTTTCACTTGCGATAGTAGCAGTATATTTCAAAACAAAAAGAAAACATATCTAGGATAGTCTGTTGCGTTTCTAGCTCACTTGGGAGAAAATTTCGAAACACAATCGGTCTTGATATCTCTGGAACCTTAAAACTTGATTTGACGAGAAGAAGGTCTCAAGGAAATGCTCTCATTAGTGTATTAAGTATATAAATGCTGATTTACAGATTTATTTTTGTTTTAGAAAGACAGATCAGCACCGATAACGCAATTAGAAGGTGAAGCACTGAGAAAACAAATCGGTGCAGTTAAATATTATGAATGTTCAGCTAAAACAAAAACTGGCTTATCTATAATATTCGAAGGGGCGATTCGTGAACAGAAGCCAAACAAACAAAAGAAAGAGAAATGCTCTCTTTCCTGAAGTGAATTTTACAGTGCTTCGCATAGAATGCGTATGCTTGGCTAATTGAATCAATGTTACTGATAATTTGACAAAATCACACACTATATCTCGTGAAGAGTTCAAAGAAATCGAATAATCGCATGGCTAAAGAATTCACATTCAACATTTTCTGTTAATATAATAAATTGTGAAAAGTGGATTTGTGTAAGAAGGCCCTGTTAATTTTGATAATACCGACTTTTGTACATTACCTTTTTTCCTTGTCTCACCAATGTGGACCAATGTTTTTCATTTTATTATCTTTTTGATTATTCCAGTGTGATAAACTGTGAATAAAAATTGATCTTGATTTTGTCAGCGATAGCTTTTTGTTTCCGTTTAGTTAATCCCAAAGTGCCACAAGTTATTGATTATTTAAATGGTTTTGGCTTTCAGCAAAGGAAACATGCTTGATTGACATGCTTCGTGTTATTATTTAATATGTTTGAACTTTTTTCTTTTGATGTTAGTAGCGTTATCAATCTCGTAGCTTAAAGAATTATTATAACTGTTGATAAACGTATCTGGGAAGAAGAAGGAAGAATACACCGCCTTGTGGCTACCGTTATCGATGTAGGGAGCTGCCTAAAGGCAATAGCCCGATATGTTCTCTGCAGTTGACAAGCTTCTGAAATGGTCACCCACCTCATTACTGGTCATCAACCACAGCTCTGACCAGAAGGCTGGTCTGACGCAGAGTTCTTTCGTCCAATTACCTGAGTTCCCCATACACACCTAACTAACCACGTACCAGCTTTCCGGAACGCCACAAGGACTAGCCAAAGAAGCTATATTGTACGTCACAACGTAGTGAGTATGCCGTCAGACGGGTGATCCGAGGCACTAAGACATAAGTAACTTGCCCAAGGCTATCACATGACTTTGCTAGTGTCGAGGTTAGAACACAGTACGTTTGAAGTACGTGACGAACAACATAACTATCAAGCCATACTGCCTAAACATATCTAATGGCTGAATCAGAAAAATTTTAAGATGATTGATAAAAATAAAGTTGAACTGCCGTGATTTCTTATGTGAAAGGTAAGACTTTTGCTACCATGAGCTCGTCATGTTCTACAATATTGTTTTGTTTAAAAAAATACGGATATCTGCATAATTCAACAAAGACTACAAGATGAGCACGTTAAGGTTCTTCCGACTTAAACTTGTACATAAATGAGCGGAACTGTGTGGAAGCGGCCTGGACATTTTCATTATCACCGTACCATCAAATGGTCGCAAATGAACCAGATGACACCTGAAATTTATATCTTCAGTAATACGAAAGAGTTTTTTGTTGCGGAACCAGTCTGTTTTGAATCGGATCGGAAACTTCAAAACTTGGATTGGTTGCGGTACACTACGAAATGTGGGTACACGCGACTAAACTATTGCTAGGTAAGCATTTCAAACCCTTCCATAATATAAGTATAATCGTTGTTGTACATGGTACTCTTTTCTCCGACAGATATCACACTTTATCAGGGGCATTTGACAGATGTCCATAACATTCTAGACATGCTTTCCTGGGTTCTCACAGTCTTGGTTAGTTCTAGTTCTTGATTATTTCCAGATACTTTTAAAACTGTATATAAGAGTTTGTTTTCTCAGCGTATATTATGGTTAGTTGTTATAATGTTAGATTTGAAATAAAGATGCAAAAAGATAATATTAGATATATATGATCATAATAATTATGTATACCAGATTTAGAAAAGAAATTATTTTACATATATCTGGATATATTATTGTGTACATAACAGCAGTTAGTGTTGCTTCACAATAAAAGTATATAAGAGAAAGATCAAATAATCTAAATGAAATAGCAGAAGAAAAGCAAAAATACTTATTTTTAATTTTTTTCTAGAATATCTGAGTAATATCATCGTTTTCGTCAACAGGCAGGCTGTAATTTGTATGTGACAACTCTGTCAAAAAGTACGTTAAATTTTTAGTTTTTACTTTTTCTGCTCAACCATAATAGCTAGAACTAATGTGAAAAAAGATTTGAACAACTGAAAGAGTTTATAATCAGGTGCGATATATTTGAAAATCCCATTAAAATTTCTGCAAACCAGGTCT